CGGGAGGGGGGGGGGTTCTTTGTTTGTTTGTTCATTTGATTGTTTGTTTGTTTATTATTGTTGGCTTTTTGTTTGGTGTTCCGTTTTGTTTTGGGTTTGTTTTTGTTTGTTTTTTTGGTGTGTGTGTGTGTGTGGCGGGGCTTTTCTTTTCTCTTTCTTTCTATTCAATGGTTTTACTTCCCTCACCCCCCCCCCCTGTCTGTCTGTCTGTCTGTCTGTCTGTCTGTCTGTCTGTCTGTCTGTCTGTCTGTCCCTTCTTTGTCTCTCTCTCTCTCTCTCTCTCTCTCTCTCTCTCTCTCTCTCTCTCTCTCTCTCTCTCTTTACTCTCTTTCTCTCTCTCCCTCCCTCTCTCTCTCTCTCTCTCTCTCTCTCTCTCTCTCTCTCTCTCTCCCTCTCTCCCTCACCCTCCTCTCTCTCTTTCTCTTTCTCTCTCATTCATTCTTTATTTTAAAGTACAGTCAAAGGTTGACAAAGCCGAACGTAAACAAATAACAGTCTTTCATCAATGATTTCCCGGGGTCATGAAAATTCACTGGTTGGACACCATCAGAAAAATAGTATTAAGGTGGTTCAACCAAACAACAACCAAGATTGACTGTGAGATCAAAACAATAAATAAAGATGGTAATGGGTTGAACACATACTCACAGCTAACTACATGGCAAGACATCGACGAAACCCTAGGCAAAGAGAAAAAGAGGAAGGCCAAGATTCGCCTGTGAGGGAGATCCAGAGGCGTTATCTTGTCCGCGTCGGTGGCCTAGCGGTAAGGGTATCGAACTCGTAACCGTAAGGTCGTGGGTTCGAATTTCGTCAGCAGTCCTTTGGAAAGGCACTTTACACAAACTTTCTTCCCTTCACCAAGTTTGGAATAAGTACTCGGCTATAGACAAAGAAAAGATCTTGTCAGTTTGTTAGTGTTTGGGAGTGTGAAATCGCAGCTTGCACTGTAAGGTTCCTCGAAACGGAGAATGTTTCTGAGTGTCTAGGACAAAGATAGTACAAGACAAGATGGGTCACTCAGCCTAAAAAGTGTCCGCAGGAAGTATGCTCTTTGCTTCAGATGGCGCTGCAGTCTGTTTTGAAGCTCTCTTTCGTTTTTCCAGAAGAAGAATAGGAATAGCACCTCCTTGCGTGAGCAGATCGACTGCTGTTCATCAGCAGTTCGAGTTCGTTCAGTGCAGAGTTTTAGGTTATTTATACTTTAATGACCTCTCGCCTTTCATTCTAAAGTCAAATTAAACGAAGAAAACAATCACCCTTTCCTCCGGAAGAGGTTTTTTGTCAGCGTAACCATTTTTAAAAAGCGTTATTCCGAAATTTATCCCAAAACTTGCTAGTTTCACTTTGATTTTTAAAAACTCAAGTAGGGTAACTCTGTTCGCAAAGAGTGCGCTTTTGTGAAGAGGGCGCCACCAAATTTTGAGGACACTTTTTTAATTGGCTCAAAGAGAGAAGTGGCCCATCTTGTTATGTACTATCATTGTCTAGGATCTGCTGGAGTAATAATAGTAGTAAAGCGCAAAAGTACGCTGTGTGGCGTGGACATGCGTTATATATCAATGCAATTATTGTTATTTATTATTACCTCGGGCATATGGGGTACAGCTGGCTGGAGATAAAGAAGATTGCCTAGAACAGAGAGAGGAGGAGATCCGTTCCTTGCGGCCTGTGCTAAATTTCAG